AAGTTACAGGGGACTTAGGTGTTGCAATGCTTTAGACACCTTGAAAATCACTGGTATCCACAAACCCTGGGCTGGCCGCCAAGCTCTCCATACAATGAATGGGAAGACTGAGAAAAGGATCCACAAAAATGATTGTGCTAGGTGGCTCCCCGCCAAAGCTAGCCATGGGGAGATGCCAATGACTGAGTGTGTCCTAAACCCTGCCCCTCTTATAGTCCAGGTTGCAGGGAGGCCCCAATCCCTGCTTGCAACCCACAGCTAGGAACCCCTATCAGATGCCTGGAATCAGATGCCTCGGTTGTTCTTGCAGAGAGGGAGTTTGAGCTAGGGGTCTCCCACATCCTGGATGAGCATGCTAACCTCTGGCCTAACAGTTATAAGGAAGGCCTAACTATGCACAAACCAGGTAGGGGGAAGGAGGCACTACCCTTCATTATAATCTTGGCCCAGTGGTTAGGGTACTTACTGGGGGTGTAGGAGACCCAGGTTCAATTCTCCCCTCTGCCTACTGTGGAGAAGGGTTCCCCACCTCTCAGGTGAGCTCCACTCTCTGGAGTATAGTGATCCAATCACTATTTAATATGAAGTGGAATGGTTTCAACACATGAGATTGAGGGAGAGCCACATCATAAAGTCCCATAGGCCAGTGGTTAGAGCACTCACCCAAGAGTGGAATTGAACTGGGATTTCCAATATCCTGGGAGAATGCACAAACCCCTGAGCTAAAGGTTACTAGGGAGTCCCCTTTCCTCCGGGACATCTTGTGTGGAGTTAGGAATACTCAGAGCACACCTACTAGATTAGGTCCCACAGGCAAGACAGGTGTTCCCCCATCTAGCTTCACCTGGTCTGAGGCTCACATGGGGGCTTAGGTGTGAGACAGGCACCTGGATGCCTGCCTGAGGCAGCAGTGTGCATGTCCAGTGACCCTAGGGAACTTTTACAGCAAAAACTTAGGAGTCAAATGAGTTTAGAGGTAGGTGGGAAGTTGGTGGATTGCAGTTGTGCCTAAATCAGGGGCCTAAGGCCCTGGGCCCTGGGGTTTGTACTTATGAAAAATGGATCACCACCTCATACACACATACTGGAGGTGCAAGGTCATGGGATTCTATAAGGAGGTTACACACAAATGACTCACAAGTTCTTGGGAGTTTGTTGTCTCTGACTGTCCCTGCTGGAACCAATTATTTCATTGCGAGATGAGACTGCAGCAGGCATATATGGAGACTGTAGAATGGAGGCTTCTAAATATCTTTGGCAAAAATCCCACTATTTGCCACTTTCATGCTCCCTTCAGTCAAGCCGCTTGTGAGAACCCCAGGGTCTGACAATATACAAAGAGTCATGTGCGGATTATGTTATTCTCGGTGAGGAACTTAGGCTGTACAGCCATTTAGTAGGAAATGAATGGAAATGACAGTGGAGGAGATACCAGAGTGAGGGAGCGAGACCCAAAAACTCACATTAGGGTTCTCACCAGCAACTTGTACAAGAAGGCAGTGGCCTTAAAGATTAGGAGAAGGGCTCTCACACAGGGTCTGGCAAGGAGAAGGTTAAAACCCTCATTCCAAACAGCCAGACATCCTTGCCCTGTGCTAACATGGATGGGTGGAGTAGCAGGTGCTCTATACAGAAATGTTAATTTGCCTCATTAGCAGCAGGCACCTGATTGCTGAAGGAAGGAAATAAAAGAGCAGGGAAGAGGTGCTAATAGCAGAGCTGGGAGTGGGGGAAAGGGAGGGGATGTGGTACAAGAAAGCTGTGATTAGCACAATGCTTGCTAATATCATTTTTTTCCCCCAAAGCTCAGTTATACAGGATGCACCTAGTATGTGATGTAAAGACATTACAGTAGCTAGTTCTAGCAGTGATAGTAAGAGTAGCTATGTTAGCTGAAACCAGCTTGGCTTTAGCTTGTATATATTTGGCTGTGGAAACCCTGTGGTTCTCTTCAGACTATAGCTGATAGAGGCCTTTTCTTCTACAGGGGCTCTTCATTTTCTGTTTGTGTGTGTCTGTCATTCTTCATTACCTAAAAAAAGACAGGCCATATTTCTCCCTGACCTGGTTCCTGAACTCCAGAGCAAGACTGCAAATTCCCTTATATCATCTATGTGAGGTTCAGCCGAAATCAGCCATAGTGGGAAAGTTGAATGCAGCTGGATTCATTAATAACAATCTCTTCAGCTTTGTCTGGGTGCATGTATCTCCTGGCTGATCTGGCTAAAAGCTGCTTGTTTGTGACCATTGAGGGCACGTCTACACTGCAACTGGGACCGAGTCTCCCAACTCAGGTAGATAGACTTGTGTTAGTGGGGCTTATGCCAGAATGCTAAAAATAGCTGTGTGGATGCTGGGACACTGGCAGAACCACCCTGGCTCTGAGCTCAGCTGACTAGGAATTCTTAAGCACAGGGAGTGTTGCTAATTTCCATGTCAGAGCAAAGAGGAACTGAGCTAATAATTAACAATAATAAAAATAATAATTTGACACATTTTTCCTCTCTCCATCTATGGAAAAGGCTGGCAGAGAGAGCTGGTGCAGAGGCAGGAATTAAGGTGTTTTTCAGGGACCATCTGATGTTAAAGCCTGTTTGGAAGGAACCTTTCAGAGTGAGGCCTAAGAAGCCCGGGTGCAGTTCTGGCAGCCTACCAACTAAGTAGGGGAATGTTCCGTGATCTCTAATAGTTGTGAAGCACTATGTAAAATTCCTGACCGTTAATCTCAGTTGCGCTCAGAAGAGAATCCTGCTTAGGAGAGAGTCTGGTCACACACACATGCCCAGGATTCTCTTCTTGGCCCTTAAAAATTAGGGTCAGGCAGGGTGCAGTGGTGATGGGGTCAGAGATGCTGAAAGTTACTGAGATTTTTCTGGCAGCAGGTACTTTATAAATTCCACAAAATGAATCCTGCTGGTTAGAGATGGAAATGACTGGTGTAGCCTCCTCATTCTCTCTCCATCCTGGTTGGCCCTAACAGGTTTATTCCCTGCTCCAATGCTTTATACAGTCCACTCCCAAATATCCACTGTTATGGGGTTTTCTCTACTGCCCTTGGGGAGACTAGTACATACCCTAATGAACCTCATTGAGAAATTTTCCCTGACATTCAGCTTAACTTTTCCTTTATTTCTACTTACAGCCCTTTAGAGGAAAAAAAAATTCCTTCACCAAATTGGTCATTGCACCCTTCAATTCCCGCAGCAGAACTATTCTGAAGTAGGTCAGAAAAACCTGACACGTAGCAATGGAGCAGCTTGCAGCATGGTCACTGCCCTGTGACTTGCATGTGGTGCTGTCTACCCAGGGGCCTAGCGAGGTGAAATTACAGATGGCAGACACAGATACTGTATCACCCAAGTCACACTGCTGTATTCAATATAGATACTGGCTTGGATTTTCTTTAAACTTAAACTATGTCAAAGATTCAGTAGAAATGCAGGGATCATAAGGAAATCCAGCTAGAGCATGTATTCCATTTGCTGATATTAACATCCAGCAGCAATACCCACCATCAGAATAAAAAAAGTATTGAAGAAAGAGGGATTAATCCCCTGCCTGCCAGAGTCCTTTTCTATTCACTGAGCATTTGGATTTTTCTTAATCAATGAGCCACTGGGTCCCTTGCTGTTACTGCATTATGTGGACTGTTGCTGCTGGCACATCAAAGTCACGCAGGATACCATTATTTTCCACTAACTTATCCCATCTGTAGTAACTCTCAAGGCCAAGCAAAACCAGGCTATTGCTCCCTGTGGCGGAAATTGTCTAGTGGCTTTGAGGTGGCAGCTTGCACTAGGACAATGCTCCTGCCTTTCCTAGTGTTGACATTGTGTGTGTTGTTCTTCTGGGTGGTAGGAGGCACAATTCTCCGCAAGGTTAGTTACTGTCGTCAGCACCTAGTCAGAACCTTGGTGGAATTCACTGGGTAAGTTTCCTGAGTGTTATATCTGGCAGAGCAAGGGGCTTAGAAAGAGTTTATATCTAAACCAGAGGTTCCCAAACTGTGGTCCATGGATAACCAGTGGTCTGTAAGCTCCATTCAGGTGGTCCGCGGATAGATCCCTCTAATGTGCATGCCTGGGCAGCCGCACACAACAGAATGAAGGGCCACCCACCTAATTAGTGGAGCCGAGCAGGGGTGGCTTCACTAATTAGGTGCCTGGACCCTGGAGAAGACACACATGTAAGGTGAGGTGGTGGCCTTGTAGATAGTAGGGGGTAAGTGGGAGGGGGCAGTAGGGTGAGAAGAGGGGGTGGGGGGCATTTGGGATGTGCAGGGCTGCGGCAGCCAGAGGAAGAGGTAACTTCCCCAGTTCCAGGGCTGCGGCTGCCCCCCTCCTTCCCAGGCCCAGCTCGGGGACTGCTGCGGTGGGGGAGAGAGGGCACATTCATCGCATTAGAAAGTGAGACTATTGATATTAAAATATGAGTTGTGTGCTTTTATTTGTAGAAGAAAAAAAGTTTGTTTGTTTTTTTATATAGCGCTTTTATCCAGAGTGCTTTACAGCTTGTAGCTAACGGTACAAACAACATTTGGAAAGATCATTAAGTAGTCCGCCGAGACCCTCAGCAATTTTCAAGTGGTCCGTGGAAAAAAAAGTTTGAGAACCACTGGTCTAAACACAGATTGGTATGCACAGTGCTGTACAACTCTGGCATGCAATTAATATCAGTCTGTCAGCTAAAGCTTTGTCATCTTTGTTATTCTTTTGTACAGCACGTAGTGCAATGGGGCTGTGAACTACCATAATATAAATAATAATCCTCAGTCAGAAGAGTACCATAAAAAGAATGCATCCTACCCTTTGTATTGCCAAAAATAAGAGTATTTGCATACAGGAAATGACACACAACATTCTGATGTAACTTCCTGACATGATTTATTTAAAGTTTCCCCATCAACCCCATCCCTGATGAGCCACACAACAAGGGAAGTGTATTAAAAGGAATAATAAACGCACACACACAATGCTACAGTAATAAAAGAAAAGACTTACAGAGCATGTTCAGGGTTAAACAGGAACTGGTCTATTGCAGAACAGCAGGAGGAACTTGGAGATAGAAGAACAGCCACTTTTAGTGCAGACGGGAGAAAAAACAGACACAGTGAAGGGGTAAAGAGAGAAAGGAAAGAAAACACAGAGATGGTTAATAGGAAAAAGACCTCCAGCTAACCTGTCATTAAACACCAAGAAATGATGTTAAAATAACCTCAAGCTCCAAATACACCCCCGCCCTCAAGGGAAGGGAAAATCTCAGCTAATACTGATGGCGATTGGGTCAGAGGAATTAGGCATGCATATGCGGTTCCTTGGTAAATAAACCCTCTGAAATGCTCAGGAGAGGAGGTGTTCCGTCTTGTTCCCCAGGTGCTCTTTGTCTTCTCACTCATGCTTTCTTTAGCAAAATAACCCCACATTTTCCTTTTCCAAAAGTTCTCAGGTTTGCTCCAGGGAGGTCTGGTTGGATATTGTGATGTTTATATGTCCCATCCCGCACACTAGTCACATGACCAGAATCATCTGACTGGAGGGGATGGCACATATCCTCCATGATTATATCTCTTGGTTGAGTCTATGAAAGTGACCTGTCTCTGTTAAGGGAGCAGATAAATTCCACATCTACACTGCAAGGCTACATGTCAACCTTCCCTCATTCCCACCCATCATAAAGAGCTAACATGTCAGCCTCTGAGAAACCGGATTTATGGTGGAAAAGTGGACACATCATTATCTACAGAACCTCTAGCTGGCAATCCTAGGATGCTCAGACAACTCAGTTATATTGGACATGGGCATGTCTGCCTATCTTTCTAGACATACACATCTGACTAATTATTTAGTCCCTGTTTTATCAGAACTCTTCAGGCTGCAGTGCATAGCTGGGTCAACTGTGATTTCATTTCTAGTAAAGCTCTTACAGTGGCTGCCAGCCAAGATCCACCACAAAGTTCTAATTATTGTTTGCTGCATACAACATGCTGCTGGCCATCTCTCCACTACACCCAAGTCTAATGGGAAATAAATATGACCACAGGTCCCAGCAAGTGGTTTCTTAATGCTCAATGCCCCATCTTCCCCATCCCATGCTGGCAAGGGCTGGGCTCTATGCAGAATTGGTGCTCAGCCACAGGGATGAAGGGAGCGGTCCCTCCAGCTGATCACTGATAGACTGCAAGGAGAGAGTCTAGTCTTCCTTAGATGAAAACCTAGTACTCTGATGCATACTCTCAAGTGGGGAGGTGGAGATGAGGGCTCAACAGAGCTTTGTAAATCCAAATGGGCAGAATTTTTTTTTTTTTTTTGCTGGAAAGTTTGGGAATTGGGGCCAGATCCTTGGGTCATGGATTCATAGATTCCAAGGCCAGAAGGAACTTTTGTGATCATCTAGTTTGACCTCTTGTACAACACAGGCCCTAAGACTCCACTGGCTTAATTCCTACTTGAACTCAAGCATCTTTTACAAAAACAGTGATGGAGAATCCATTCAAACCTTAACAAATTGTTCCTATGGTTTATTACCCTCCCTGTTAAATTGGCTCTTTAGTTCTAATCTGAACTTGTCAAGCTTCAACTTCCTGGCATTGTATCTAGTTATACCTTTTCCTGCTAGGTTGAAGAACACTGTAATATCAAATTTCTGTTCCCAATTTAGGTGCTTATAGACTGTGATCAAGTCACCCCTTAACCTGCTCTCTGTTAAGCTAAACCTACTGAGCTCCTTCAGTTTTTCACTATCATTTAATCATTCTCATGGCTCTTCCTTGAATCTTTTCCAATTTATTAACATCCTTCTTGAATTCTGAGCACCAAAACTGGACACCAAATTCCAATGGTGGTCACACCAGTGTCAAATACAGACGTAATATAACCTCCCAACTCCTGCTCATTATTCCCTTTTTAATTAATCAAAGGATCACATTTGCCTGTTTGGCTAGGGTGTTGCAATGGGAACTCATGTTAAGCAGATAATCTTCCATGACCCCCAACTCCTTTTCCATCACCGCTTCCCATGATAGAATCCTCCCTCCTGAGATATGGCCTGCATTCTCTGTTCTTAGTCTCTCAATCACTGAGACTGTCCCTTTGGCAAATGCTGTTAGTTTTCCCCAGACTGGAAGACATTCCTCCCCACCCTTCTGCGTTCCTCATGGATGGAACATCTGTAGCGCCAACTCCCACCATTTTCCACCAGCTGCATCTCACCCATCCTTGAGTCCCTAGGATGCATCCACCTCTGTTCAGATGTGGAGGACTAGAACCTACTTATTCCACTCACAGATTGCCTTGGAGAGCTAGCTATAGGTGCCGTTAGTGGCCTCCTCTTCACGTAGGCCCTCCCCACTTTGTCCATGTAGCATTCTCTGTTTAAATGGTATATTGAGTTTGAGCCTGTTCCATTGATTTTATTGGGTGTAGGAACTGGCCATTTATATTCCAAACCCTGGCCCCTTAGCTACCGTCATGTCCCAGTCCACCTTCTCTCACTTTGCAGAAGAGGAAGAAGAATTGAGATTATTTTTCATTGCCCCTTGTTTAGCCAGCAAAGGAGAAGCAGAACCTTTCTAAGGCCTTGCCTACTTGGGGAAAGACACTGTGTTAGAAAACATGACATCAAGCATTACTCTATGTACCTGTGTAGAAAAGGACACGCTGTGCTTTAAAACATGTTAGTTGGCGCCAAGACCTGCTAGCATATTTTTTAACATGATTTGTATGAACTGATATGTTAGTTAACCCTAAAGTTAACCACAGCCAGCTAATATATTTTTAAACACAATTTATCCTCATCCACACTAAGCATAAAGTTTTGTTTAACACTGTTAGTTAATGTGTTTTCTAACATTTTCCCAGTGCTACTTTCCCTGTACAACCCCAAACTGGCTTTCTTCCCACTGATGCTGCCATCGATATTCCCAGCAGATCACCAGGGCAAGAGACTTAGTCCAGTTAATTTTTCCAAACACAAAGAAAGCATGGAAAATATCATCTAAAACCCCACGCCGACAGTTTCCCGCATGTTCAGGTGTTTTAACACCTAAGCAGTTTATAGCAATGTAATGCAATACCCAGCCAGCTGCATGGCGCTTGGAGAAGGAAATGGAAGACAAGATACCTGGGTGACTTGCATACATGGTACACTCTTGCATACCCCACTTTGAATATCCAATTGAGGTTCAGGTTATGGGAAGCAATGGTGAATGAACACAACCTATTGTCAGAATTCCCAGGTTTTATGGTGAGCGTTCAAATGAGCTTCCTCCATTTAGAAGTTCATATTGTAATGGGGATGCTGCCAAGAATCTGCCTGGAAAGTCAGAGGGAAAATCCCCTGATTTTTAAGTGTATAAGATTTCATTGCTTTTGTTTCTTTGGGTTTATTTAAATCCACTACTTCACTGGGAAATTTAAAAATAAAAAATAGCTGTGAGATTGGGGGTGGGTGGGAATTGGGATAAGCCAGTGCTTTTCCCTTCTGGTCACAAAGTTGTCTGTGGAGCTCATACCTGCCTTAGTGTCTGCTTTCCTTCTATGGATGAGGTGATGTTTCTAGAACAGATGGACTTTGGAATGGTACCAAAACAGCTTAACCTTTCTTTGACTTGCTCTTTAATTCATTTCCCTGAAGTCAGTGCCACTGAGTTGGTTTAACAAGCTTTAATAGTGGTGTAAGTAGCATCCCGGGCAGTGCTAATGTAATTCTCCTCTGTGAATAATCGAGCTTGAGGAGGAAAGCTACCAGATGCTCAGCTGACCATAGGCGATGTCTGCCTGGTTCTGTGTTGTTTATGTGTAATGCAGTTGGACAAAAATGGCAGTGGGGGTGAAAGACGCTCAGGATGCTGCAAGAAAGGACTGGTGAAGAAGCCAAGTCATAGGTCTGTCAAGGTTCAGCTGTGCTTAATGGGGAAGGATGGGGCTGCAGGGCAAAGGGAACACCAGCATGGCTCTACCATCTCTTAAGCTTAGGGACTGCAACCTGGGGACCTTTCTTTATTGTACATCCCAGTTCTGAATATTCTAAGAGACAGGTCACCCTTTCTGTCCCTTCCAAATAGTTTTAGATCGATTGTTCTTAAAAATGCACATGAACTTTGCAAATCCAGAAGCACCTAAGTTTCAGAAGGGCTAAGTACTCACAAATCCATCTGAAGCCTCTGAAAACCAAGGCCTATCAATTTATTTTGTTTTTAAAGCAAATATTTCAATCCTCTTCAGAGCTGGCGGGGAAATGTCAGCAATGCTCACAGTCCTATACAGTAAAAGCAAACCAGTGTGAACTGCTTAACCATTACGAGTAACTCTACAATAACACACCACTGTGAGCATTCCATGGTTAAAGACAACTGAACTGTTACAATGACAAATCAATATGAACATGTGCATGATATGAGGCATATTATTCTAAGGAAACCAATTTAGCTTCTCACTATCAAGGACTTGTTATAATTATAAACAACAATGGGTAGAAACCATTGTAATAATACTTGCCAAAGTGCATTTTTAGCATCTTTTAAATATTTTAAATGTATTATTATATTTCAATAAATAATTTGTTTGTATGTATAATGGAACTTTCTCCAATAAGAACCAACCTGTGGCGATACCGTGTGCAGTGTTTCTGTCTGATCTTATAAGCTAAGCTGGGCAGTATTTTGAAGGGGAGACTTTCAGGGAGTGCCTAGGTAGGTGATACTGATGATTTTGAGAGTTGGAAGTGAGTATACCAGCTGAGTTACTGCTGAACGAATGATCCAGCGTGGGGCTAGGCATCACTACGCTATTGCAGGTGCTGACTTTTGGATGATTTCAACTGAGCTCATAGCCACTTGAGATTGTTAAAGATACCATGGTAACACTTTAAATGAAGGTGTCTTTTATAACTGCTTTCTCCTTACCTATAAATGAAAACTCAGTGCAGTTACCCCCTTAGTGTATTATAAAGTATGTTATAAAATGCATTAATAATAAATGCTTAACCAATTATGCAATGGCGATCTGTTAACAAAAGAAACTATAAGGCATAAATTGTTTTGAACCAATGTATATCTTTAATACATGAACTTAATCAGT